GCTTCTGCAGAAAAAGCTATGAAGAAGGAATTTCAAGGTGAGAAAGTTTACCAAATATGATCATGACTGATATATGAAAGTCTGGGACTCCGATGATTATGATCGTCATAACTGGTATACCTTTAGGAACGCGATCCTACTGTCCACCGGAATGGTTTCGCCAACTGCAGTATCTTCCGTTAGAGGCTACAAGTTGGTCACTAGGTGTTCTTCTTTTCATTCTCGTAACCGGCCAGCTTCCCTTCAAAAATGAAATCCAGATCTGCCTTGGACGAGTAAAATTCCCGTCCTATGTTTCAAAAGGTAGGAGTCGAGTTTCACGTCTCTCAAGCCCTTTCTTCTCATTAGCGGATGCCGGCAAGTGTCGCGGATTTGGATTTTTTGCGCTATTGCGTCATACACTTCAGAGATATATCACTGGTCCATTTTGCGACAGGAAAAGTACGTCATCACCGCCAAATGCCTGTTTAACATGTGCCGCTAACGGTGCTTGCATTTCGCCCTTCTATCGAGTCTGGGAAATGCAGGACTAATATTCTTCTAATGCCACTTTTCTGCAGTTACTATTTTATAGAGTGTTGTCAGCTGATCAAATCGTGTCTTACCACTGCTGCTGGATCTAGAGCTTCATTAACGGCGATACGGCAACATCCGTGGCTCAACAAGAAAATACCAATCCATACAGAGACTTTTGAGGCTGTGCTGGATGAGACGTTGGGAAGGAGGCAAGGTGGGATAGAAGCTAGACTTTTTTTGGACTATTTTTGATTAGTTTGTCTGACTTTAGCCCTGGAGCGATCACCACGAACTCCAGCCGAAGAAGGAAGAGGGACTGTAGAAGAAGAGCGCCAGATCAACGATGTAATTCTTTTAGAATCCTCAAACATAGTTCGGAAGCCTTCCGTTCCCTCCGTGATTGCACCCGATACGGAGAGCAGCTGCACGATGGTGACGGCTATCGGTGACGATGAGGTGGCTCCATTAGGTAATCTAATCCTTTGAAGCACATAATTTGAAGGAAGTATTTCTAAAGGCTATTTAATGGTTTAGTACCTCGGACACGGCTTCACTCGAAATATGACAATATTTCATCCTCTTCCCTAGCTGACTATATATCGACATTAAGTGTGGAACCGGAATCTGTTGTGTCGGATTCAGTTTCTGTAGCGACAACGGCTACTACGAATGCCTATTTTTCAACGTATGACATTAGCGAGGAAGAGGAAGCAGAAAGGCATGTTATTTATCTCGGTA